TGTCTGTGTCTGTGTCTCTCTAGCTCTCTCTGTCTGTGTCTGTGTCTCTCTAGCTCTCTCTCTCTAGCTCTCTCTCTCTCTCTAGCTCTCTCTCTCTCTCTAGCTCTCTCTCTCTGTCTCTCTCTCTTCTCACCATACAGTGGTCTCCGCTACTGGAACCGTTTTCATTGACCGTGCCATAATGCACCCTCGCAAACTGACTGGCTGTGGCTTTTGATGTGTTATAATTTCACCTGAAACTGACTGGCCTTCATGTCCCTGTCATCCCCTCTCGCAGACACAAAGTACGGCACTCTGTAGCCCAGCTGGCAGCTATCATCGTCAAGCATGAAACGCCCGAAAAGTGGCCGCAACTGCTTCAGTTTATAACTCAATGGACGAAAAGCAGTGTTCCAGAGGAGAGACAGGTGGGTAAAGGCTGCTGTAGGCAGATTGATCAATCAATCTGATTCCCTAGCCAGCAACACGCTGCCCTTTTCATTCCAGCCATGAGGAGATTTAATTTGCAAATGTTGGAAAGAGAAGTGACCCCAAAAAGAAGTTGTGCTTTTCCGACTTCGGTCTAGAATCTGGGAAGGCAAGTAGTGAGGATGACACGTGAGTGTTCAGAGAGATAGAGACGGGCTAAACTTGGCTGATGTAACCTGGGGAAATGTGAGGTTCTGCACTTTGGCAGGAAGAATAGAGGAGCTGAAGATTAGCTAAATGGGGAAAGACTGCAGAACAGAGGGATTTGGGAGTTCTTGTGCATGGATTACAGACAGCTGGAATCCCAAGTTCAGCTGGTCGTGGGGAAGGCAAAGGGAATGGAGTATAAATATCGAGAGGTTTTTGCTAAAACTGTACAAGGGACTAGTCACGCCACAGCTGGAATACTGCAATCAGTTTTGAGGCCCCTTATCTAAGGGGAGGCAGTCCAGAGAAGAGATCCTGGGGACGGAGGGACTGTCTGATGAGGAAGCAGGGTTGAGTGGGTTGGGGCCTGTACCCATTGAAGTTTAGGAGAATGAGAGGGGACCCGATTGAAATGTACAAGATCCTTGGGGGTAGGGGGGGGAGAAGAAGGTGTGGAGAGGTTGTCTCTCCCCTTGTGTGGGAGAGTCTGACCCAGAGGGGCATCATCTCAGAATAAGGGGGTTGCCCACTAAACACAGAGTTGGGGAAGAATTTCTTCTCTCAGAGGGGGAGCGAGTCTGTGGGGTTCTTTACCGTGGTGGGGGGTGGGGGGACGCGGTGGTGTTGTGTGTGGAGTGGAGGGGGTTGCTGTCAAGGTTGGGTCATTGAGAATATTTGAGGCTGAGACAGAGAGAGATTTTTAACAGGAAGGGAAATTGAGGGGAAAATGGTAGGAAAGTGGGAGTTGAGGATGTCCATTGAATGGCAGAGCATGTTTGATAGACTTAATGACCTTCTACTTCTGCATCTTGCAGTCTGATCTGATCCTAACCTGACATGTCCTTGTGTTTGTTCTCACGCGAATGGTTGTAGCCGGATGTCCTCGGTTAAGGGTCGGCGTCAGGTCACAAGCCCTCAGGCAGTGGTAACTGGTCTGTTTTCTCTTTTGGTTCGGGGCTTCAGGTCGGAATGCTGTTGCTGAGCACTGTCGTGGACATTAGTACTGAGTCCTTCAAGCGGCATTTTCGCGAATTGATGCGTCTCTTCCATCAGACTCTGGAGGACCACGACAACCCACTGGTGGTCTTCTACACCATTCAGACGCTGACTGCCGTGGTGTCCTACATGGGAACAGATGAAGTGGTAAGTCTCGTGTGGCTGAGACAAAGTGTGTGACCTTTGTCAAACATTATGTCATTCGTTTCAGTGACGGTACATGTGTCAATCATGCAAGTGAGGTATTCACCTATTCTGATTTTTAATTCTGATCGTTGCAAGAGACTAATCTCACCCCAGGTCTGGCTCTGAATCTCTGCTGTGAAGTACGATTTGGCCTCCGGCCTCCTGTCGAAACAAGGTCAGGAGTTTACAGACAAACAAGCAGACGGGGCAATCTGCTGTTAGATTTTATGACTCGAGTTGCGGGACAGATAAGACCATTTTGTAGTTTAATTGTCCAAGATCAATGCTGTGAAAATAAACTGGCTCTGGGGCTTTATGGGTCAAGCAACAGTTCTGTGCTTTAAATTGGTTTAAGCTTTGTAACTCCTCGCTTTAAGGAGCGGCGGTCACTTCCTTTTTAAAGCACATCTGTAACTGGCTTGAAAATGATGTCTGTAATTCTTGTGGCTTGGGGGAAGCTGCAGCACAGAGGGATGTGGGGAGTGTTTGTCGATTAAATCACGAAAAACTGGTGCCCAAGTTCAGCGGGTTGTGGGGAAGGCAAAAGGAGCGTCAGCCTTTATTTCAAAGGGAACGGAGGGTAAAATCAGGGAGGTTCTTGCCTACATCATCTCCACAAAGCATAATCTTCCAAAATAAATTCTCAACGTGTGTTTGAGTAGATCTGTTCCCACTGAATCCATGGAAGCCCGTTGGGCAGATTTTTAAGGGCTTCGGAGGACATTCAGGGTTGTGGTAAATTTTAATCTGGAACGTCTAAAGGTGGTCAGGCTTATCCATTTGTAACCTGTTGTCTCCCCAGCCTCTGTTTATGATCGTTATCCCCACACAGATTGTCCTTTAGTCATTAATGACACACACTTCGTCTGAAATCATTGTTCCCGCAGACTCTTGCTTATTTCCCAAATGTATAGGATGTGGCGTTCCTCTGTAGCTGTGGGGTGATTTGCCTTTCAAATTTGCAGGGCGGAACACTAGCCCTAACAATGAGATATGATGCCCTTTTCTGTTCCCAATGCAGAACTTGATGCGCCCTATGATCCCAAAGCTGTTGATTGCAATCCAGACCCTCATTCAGCACAATCAGGTAAGCAGGCCGGCAGCACGGGAAGCTGCAAATTGTTCCCTGTGACATTGACCGGCCGGTGGGACGGAGAGACAAGTGTCAGATGAGATTCAACGCGGAGAGTGTGATGTGATTTATTTTGCTAAGAGGAGCATTGAGACCGTGTAAGTCTGCGTGTGCAACTCAAAAAAGGCAGTGTGAACTGAGGGGACTGGGTGTATGTGTGCTTAAATCATCAGAGGTGGCAGGATAGGACGAGATAGCAGTTATTAAAGTGTGCAGATGCCTCTGTTTTATTAATGGGACAAAGAGTGCAAGAGCAAGGAGGTGTCGTTGAACTTGTATCAAACACTGGTTCATCCTCAGCTGGAGGATTGTGTCCAGTCCTGCGCCCGGCACTTTCAGAAAGAGACGAAGGCATTTCGAGAGAGTGTGGAAAAGATGACTGAGAACGACTCTGGGATGAGGGCCTTCAGTGGCTTGGATTGGAGTATGTGGGAGGGGTCTAGACAGAGGAGAGAGGGAGAAACTTCCCATCGGCGGGAGGATCAGGAATTGAAGGGACACGGACTGGAGGTGATCGGCAAAAGCAGTAGCAGTGACAGGAGAAGAAACGTTTTCACACAAGCAGTCGGGGTCCGGAGTACACTGCCCAAGAGCGTGGTGGAGGCAGGCTCTGTCGAGGCTTTCAAGAGGAAATTGGATCAGTTTTTGAAAAGACAGAACGTGCAGGGGGTTATGGAGAGATAGAAGGGGTGAGGTGGCATCAGTTAGAGCTGGATCACTACCTCCTGCGCCATTTGGTGAGCTGCTTTTCATTATCGACTGGGGGGATTGTGCCTTTTAAGGAAAGTCGGTTATTTTTTAAAATCCGTAATAAGGTTTTGGCAAGGCAGGTATTTGTTTCCTGTATATTTGGTGTATTCCCATGTATTCAGCGGTGGCAGATGATGACTTGAACGGTTCAGCAAGAGGCAGCAAGTAATTTTCAGGCCAGTGATTATAGACCATGCTCATGGATTTTGACGACTACTGTTGCACGGTGTTGACAAATCTGACTCCTGTTCCTTTTGCTTCCCCCATTCTCCTGTCAGGATCAAGCCAGTGAGGCGATGGAAGTTTTCGATGAGCTGATGGAGAGTGAAGTATCTATTATTGTGCCATACTTGTCGCAGATTGTGCATTTCTGCCTGGAGGTCAGTCCAGCAATCCTGTTGTACCACGAGCTGTGAATTTCTCTTTATTCCTTCTACACCTTCCCAACTCTTCTCTTTTCACCTCGTGTTGCGGTGAGATGATGCCAGTAGCCTCCATTTGGTTGTTTTTTTTCAAATGTGAACCTTCCAGTTGGGAATGGTTTGAATATTGGGCCGTACGTTCTTCTCAGGCTGAGGTACGGTGTGATAAATGCTTTAGTTGGAATCTAGACCCGTGCTGTACCCTTCCTCAGACTGTGTAGAAGGGGCTTTACCCTGTATTTAACCCCGTGCTGTCCCTGTCCTGGGAGGGTTTGATGAAATTTCATTAGAGGCAACAGCATGAAGGTCATTGAAATCCGCACCCAGAAAGATCCCAATGTACTTGTTTCTAAAGATTTATATAGCATCTCGGGATTACACAAAATGCTTTACTTTGAGAAATTTTGCATTTTAAGGTGTCCTCACTGCTGTAATGTCGTAAATGTATTAACTAAATTACACACCACAAGGTCTGAAAAGCAGCAATGGTTCACCAGATATCAATAATGTCAATTAAGAGATAAATATTGGCCCTGGGGAGAGTCCATCTGTTCTTCTAGAAATAGTGTCTTTTATGTCCAGCTGAAAAGTCAGGTAGTGCCTGATCCGAAACCTTAAAGGGACTGTCGATGGACTGTAGTTTGAACCTGATTCAGAGGCCAGAATGCTATAGCTCCATCCTCTGTCTGTTTGCCCATCAAAATAAGAAACAGTTTAAATTTCGGTAACAGCACCTTACAAGCCCTGAACACTGGGATAAGGAAGCTCAGATTGTTCCATCCTTACGATAAAGAATGCAGATGCTAATTGACCAACATTTGGAGCTATGGTTAATCATGGAATGAAAAGCATGTCACCTGCAGATCAAAGCTGCTAATGAAACTATGAAATATCCTGAGTGCCTGCAGAAACGTACCTCTCACAGGGCTATATATAAGAAAACTAAAGTTACGTTTGTTCACCCATCTGTAGGTGGATGTGAATTTTGTACAAGCCAGTTCTTACAGCATTCAGCCATGTGCTTGTTCCATATATGCTATCCAGCACAATCTCCTCAAAAATCCTCCAGGCAATCACACTAAAGGAAGCAGTCCATTTTGGCTTTAAGTGAAGGAGTAAAGAAACTAAATAATTTGCAAATGACAGCAATGTGGTGCTTTTTGCCTTTGAAGAAGCTTTTCGGCTAGTGATGTCTTAATGTTGCTCCAATGCCTAAAGTAAAAACAATGTGGGGTTACAACGCTGAAGAATCTTAAGAAATGAAAAAAGATTCCCCTTAAAGCTGCCAAGGTTTCTCTCTAACCTCCTGCAGAAGTACACCCCACTGCTTTCTAGGCCATAAGGCCTGGATTTCCCTCTGCCTGTCAATGTTTCTATTTTTATTACATGGCTTGGTGTGAATGCTTTGCTGGCTCACGCAGTACCTCGGGATGTTTAAGGTGCTGTATTACTGCTTGTCTTTGCTGAGCTAATGGAAGATCCTGAAGATGCTTTTCCTGTTTTGCCCTATTGTAGATTGCAGCCAATGCCATCCTGGGAGACAACATCAGGGTCAAGGCTTTGTCGTGTGTGAGCTTTCTAATCAAACTGAAAGGAAAGGTGAGGGGGGTTTGGATTGTTTAAAAGTTACACTGGGAATTAGGCTGCAATAAATCCAAACTGGGTGAGGGGTGTCAGACAGTGAGATAACGTTTGGAATTGGCTTAAAGTTGAGGTGTTTACCCTGAAAAAGCTCAAGCACCTGCAGGGTTCCACAGAGAACAGTGCTGCCAGGTCTCTGCATCTCACAAGCCTGTTTTTGTTTGGTTGTCATCAGGCAAGAAAAAAGATAAGTATTACACTGGAAAGCTGTGGTAGTATTGGCTAATGCCTTGCGTGTAGATGTTAGTTAGAACTGTATTCAAGCCTCTTTAAAAGGGCTGATTTATCAAGGCTGTATTTCTGAAGCACTCGTCAGATTTTTCACCTGCCCTGCAAGTACGTTAACCTGAGCGGCGCAGCAGGACATGCTTACAAAGTGTTTTGCAAAAACGATCCTGCTGTTCAAATGTTACAATCACCTGGCCCTCACTTCCCTCCACTAAATTAGCACTTGAAACCTCGCTGTTTTCGGTTAGGCTTTCGGTTTGTACTAACACTGTTGAGTAGTGCCTTGGGGATCTTTTGCAGTGTTATAAGTATTACTCCATTGCGGGTTGTTCCCAGCAACTTCACAGTGTGTGCTCGTGAGAGCTGTGGCCACATAATTGCTTTCCTCTTGCTCCAACAGGCCATCATGAAACAGAAGCTGCTCCCTAGTATCCTGAACGTGCTGTACCCCATAATGTGTGCTCCACCACCCGAGGGAGAAATGGACCCTGAAGATCTGGATCTGGAAGATGACATTGAGGATGAGGTGGAGGCTCAGACTCCGAAGCACTTCTCAGCACAGGTACCCAGGAGGAGAGAGTGTCATCAGTGATGGTCACGAGTGCCTGAATAGATCTGGCGGTGAGATAGCTGTGATCAAAAGACAGCCCAACCAAACATTTAAAAATTGAGCCTTCAGCTTAACTTTGTTCTGTCAGTCGCAATTTCCCCTTTATGTCCGAGTCTCAGTCCACGCATCCGGATTCAAAGTTCTGGGCCATTGCTGAATGACAGGATTGAGGGAGCGCCGCGCTGTCGGAGGGTCGGCGCCGAGGGAGCGCCGCGCTGTCGGAGGATCGGCGCCGAGGGGGCAATGCTTGGTTGAAGCTGTTTGAATATATTGTATTCATTGATCTGTATCCCTAGAACATATTTAAGACAAAGCCTGTGGAATGTGAGCTGAATGATCTCACCCATATAATCTTTTTGATCTGAGATGTACTTTTAATAGACAAAACTTTGAAGTGTGTCGATAGCTAATGTTTATACAAACAGCTATATCTGTCATATATCTGCTTTTAACCACAACCCCATATTAAGCAAAACATTCCAACTCCAAGCTTCTGAGAAAATGAAGCATTGTCACTGTGTGGCCTAGGATAGTTGTTAACAGTCTGAAACTTCTGTCTCCTCTCTCTTAGGTGATCGACATGTTGGCTCTCCACCTACCTCCAGAGAAACTTTTTTCCCAGCTGGTGAGTTGAAACCTGAAACTGGATCAGTGGGCCAGGGATGAGCGAAGGCTGCTTGCTTCGAACTTCCTGGTAGAGCAGGCAACAGTGCAGAAAAGCTCAGAGATTTAAGGTTTGCAGTGTTTACCTGAGGGTTCTGGTTGAGTGTAGAGAACGCAGACCAGACGGCCAAATGGCTGACCTACCTACGAGAGTAAGGGGGAGGGAACATGAAACCAGAGAAAGATTGCCTACACAGAGTAGATCGAAGGATGTAAAGAAAGTAGGCTGGGTGGAAACCAAGCTAAGTAAGCAAGACAGAGGAGAGGAGGTGGGCAATATTGCAGTCCAAATGCTGCACAGAATATAGGATTTGAAGCCCATGTCTGGGTCCGACAGTGTCCCAAGTGAAACAGGAGAGAGTTCCTGGGTCAGGTCGCGGGGCTGGGAAGGGTGTCTATCCTGACTGACTTCCATTTTCAAAGTAACAAGTTAACCAAGATTTGGCAGCAGTCTGCTGGCAGAGAGAAAGATGCCCTGTGAGTGTGCAGAGAAGGGAACTTGGGTGTGCATGTGGAAGTCGAATGAGGTTCGATGGGAGAAAAATGTCGTTTGAGGAAGAGACTTTGAAAAATGTATCAAGTTATCACTGTGGCTGTTGGAAGGGAAGCCCGGTGTCGGTCTGTTTTCAGGAATATCTCCGGATGACAGTGTAGGGATTAGATGGGAACCATGTAAAAGCTGTTTTGGCATTGGGAGTTCATCCTTAGTTTCCTTCACAATGTAGTAAGGCTGCAGGGCTGAACAATGGAAGTTGGTTCTGCAACCTCCTTATGTTAAATGCTCAAAGATATTAAAAAGGGAGGTAGTTAAATAGGACTTTGGGAATGGCTTTATCTTTGTGTTCAACAAAGGCTAAACACAATTGGCTGCAGGGATTTTTGAGCAATGGATGAGGGAGTGAGAGGGAGGAAGAAACTCCTCATTCTGCCAATCCCTGGGTCAGATACCACAGAATCCTTGCCCAGGGGGTGTCATTGGGTGAGGGTAGTGGTAAAGTTTAACAACGGAAGGGAGCAGGAATTTGAGGTGAGCATACACCTCTGTCATTGCTGCAGTCATCAAACAAATGGGACTTTGCTGTAAATAGGGTGTGTGCCCAATGCCAGTCACCGTCATCTGATCTGTGTGTCCTGTGTGTCTCTGCGTGTGTGTGTGTGTGTGTGTGTGTGCTATAGACACCACTGATGGAGCCAGCACTGAGGAGTGAGAATCCGTATGAACGAAAGGCAGGCCTGATGAGCATGGCGGTGTTGGCAGAGGGTTGTGCAGACCATATTCGCCAAAAGTGAGTTTATCAACGGGAATATTGTCAAATTGATACTGTTACTGAACCGAAAATATTTGTCTGCACACTGCGGTGTGAACACCCATCAGTACGCTCTGTAACAAGGAGGGACACTGCGGTGTGAACACCCATCAGTACGCTCTGTAACAGGGAGGGAGACTGCGGTGTGAACACCCATCAGTACGCTTTGTAACAGGGAGGGAGACTGCGGTGTGAACACCCATCAGTACGATCTGTAACAGGGAGGGAGACTGCAGTGTGAACACCCGTCAGTACGCCCTGTAACAGGGAGGGAGACTGCGGTGTGAACACCCGTCAGTACGCCCTGTAACAGGGAGGGAGACTGCGGTGTGAACACCCATCAGTACGCTCTGTAACAGGGAGGGAGATTGCGGTGTGAACACTCGTGAGAGTGGACAGATTTGAGTGAAGATTGTTGAGCACCTGAGCTGTTGTGTAAATGTGACGTTCTCACCGTTTGTTTCTCAGACATCTGCATCCCATGCTGCACTGCATGTGTCAGGCCCTGACAGACCAGAGCCAGGTGGTCCGCAATGCAGCCCTGTTTGCCCTTGGTCAGTTCTCCGAGTTTCTGCAGGTAAGGCAAAGCTGTCACAAGTTTCTGCTGAATCTCAGTCCATTGCAGAATGATTCTTACACTTTTATTTTGCTTTTACTGTTTTTCTCTCACTAGCTGCTTTAGCTGGGAGGGAGGGTGAGTGAGAGTTTTATCTTTTTGTAACTTTTTTGTCTTTGTGTCTCCATTGATTCTCTTTGGGGCTCGAGGTGTCTCACTCTCCCTCCCTGCTGCATTGTGTTGCTTCGTGCTCGTGAGCCCTTGCGTGTTACTTTGTCGCTTGCCCGTCAGCTTTTGCACCTTGGCGAAATCATCTTTGTTTGTGATGTCGCAACCCGGCATGTTTTATACCACGCTGCCGTGCCATTCCCGTTCGCGCTGTAATGCCTTCCTTGGCATGATTCAATACTTCATATCATCTGTTTCCCTCCCACCCCACAGCCTGATATCAGTAAATATTCCGACGAGATCATGCCACTCCTCCTGAACTACCTGGGCACTATCGACAATTCAAAGGGTGGTCATCTCACAAAGGCTTATTACGCCCTGGAGAATTTTGTCGAGAACCTGGGTAAGATACCACTTGATATGAATAGCTCCTGTTTGAGACTCTGTCGTGTTCTGGTCCCTTTTGTTTTTTTTTGCAAGATGGTTGTTTTGTTTTCCCTGTTGCTGGCTTCAGGCTGTTACCCCTAACCCTTACCTCCTGTGAACTGAATCTTTAAACTTGTATCTCGATTATATGGTGAACGATTGGTTAAGCTTCATGTGCACACTGGAAACAGTAAAGAACGCTCTTACATTTCCAAATTTGCACGAAGTTGGTTAAGTGCCAACTGATCCCCCGTGTAGCTCAGGGTAAAGTTTACAGTCAGGATGTTACCGTAGAGGGAGCGGCACCGACAGTTCGCCAGAATTGTCCCCGGGATGGTGGGATGAGCTGTGCAGAGATGGGACAAACTGCACCTGTATTCTCTTGGAGAAGAATGAGACATGATTTTGCTGAAACTGAGAAGGTACAGATGTAGGTAAGATATTTCCTCCAATTGGGAGAGCTTAGAATCATGGGGCACAATTTAAAAGTCAGGGAGATGCTGCGTAGATCCGAGATGAGGAGAAGTGATTTTACTCTGAGGGTTCAGGCAGATTTCTGAAGGCAGTGAAGTGTTTGATCAGCTGGGATTGAATTGAATGGCAGGCAGGCTGAACAGATTGAATGGCCTGTTCCCTGTTCCTACTGTTTCTTGTGTAAACTTTCCTCACAATTCGACACTTTCTTAGCCTAAGCATCATGTATTGAATTTGCAATGCATTCTCTCCAAGGTCTATAGATCCTGCTTGAGGTTCTGAGCCCAGTTCAGGTGGGGTCTGAGCAGGGGTGTAATGGACGGTCAGTGCTCTGGGTGGGGTCTGGGCAGG